AAAAAAAGAAATGATGGGATCTCTATATTATGCACTGTATTTAACTTTTTATAAAACGATAATACATTTAAATTTGAAACTGTAACAGCCATTTTAATTATGAGCATTAGCAAACTTCTTACTGAGTGAATTGTTATGCAAATTAGCAATTATCTCAGCTTCTTTTTAGTGCACATTCCAGATTTTTAAAAAAATAGCTTCTAGACGCTTTGACCTTTTGTTTTGAAATTTTCACAAATATTGACAATGTGTTTATCTTCAAAACGCCGTCGGGACATTGTTTTTAGTTGAATAGTATTACAGCAATCGTACAGACAACTAGCCTGGATGTTAATTTATGCATAAACTTGAAATAGTGAAATTTGAGCTTCTGCCCTACAAAATTGACAACTGGTAGACAGTTTTCAAGACGGCACTTTCTTCATAGTAAACAGATGTAACCATAAACCAATTTTGACAGGAAACAGAAGCATGGTTTAGAAGCTAATTTTTTTTAAATCACTTTTGACCAAAAAAGCACATTTTTGTGCATATTTCAAACTACAGTGTCCATAAAAATAAAATACTAACAAAACTTTAAAATTCATACAATAAGCTTTCAGAAAATATATAGTTTTGTGGACAAGGGAAGTCATCTTGGTTTCCTAATTAACTAATTAAAATACATGTCAGGTAAACAGCATCTCTGCCTTAAAAATAAATACAAATAAGTCTCAACTCACCTTGATTTCAAGACGTGACTTCACTGTGTTTGGTAAACTTTTTGTACTTTGAGGTGGTTTAGGAGAGACAATCTTCGCAGTTTTAAAAAGACTACTAAGCTCTGCCATCACTCGCTTTTCCGAGTCGATGTCATCACCAAGTTGATTTACATCAGTATTGTTTTCAATCACCAGTTTTGGTTCACATGACTAGGAAAACAATATATTAATTAAAAAAGATGCATAATTACCATACTAATTGTGTGAATTAATCGTATTTATGAGAATGTATAGATATATACTAGACTTGGACTCACCTGGGTTTCAGGACATGACTTTACTGTGTCTGGCAAACTCTGGGTACTTTGTGGTGGGTTGTTGGAAGCAATGCACAAGTTTTTAATAAGAATAGTAAGTTCTGCTACTTCACGCATCTCCGACTCATTGTCACCATCAAGTTCATTTACGTCGGCATTGCTTTCAAGTTTTGGATTTTGTGACTAGGAAAATAAGACATATCAATTATAAAGATGCATAATTACCAAACAAATGTTGCGAATTAATCGAATTACAACAAAATATAGCTACATTCGAGACAACTGGCTGCTTTCAAAGAATGAAGTTAGGGAAGAATAGACGTACCTCATCAATGTTTCCGCTATAAGTTTTATTCTCTGGTACTGGAGTGCACTTTTTTATTGTTACACCATCACCTTTGCCGCCGGGTTGTGAAATAAATTGCGGTCTAAAATCACCGAAGTTAATTTTACTGGGTTCTTCTAACCCTACTGGAATACTTCTGTCTGTATAGTTGAGCCAAGACATTGTTATCGAAGAGTAAAGGTGTTGTTTTCAGAGAGAAATATGCATACGTGCATATGTACTGAGTACTCAATGCATATAAAACAAATACATCTTAGTAGTTCTAAGATTCTATTACTCTATGACGTAAAATAATAAAGCAAGACGCGGACAATCGATTGTCACACGCTTGCGTG